TAAGTTGGGAATAGGTGTGAAAAAAAACAGATATACTGAACAAAAATATAAACACAACATGTAAAGTGTTGGTCCCATGTATCATGAAGATCCCAGAAATGTTCCGTACACACAAAAAGCTTATTTTGCTCAGATTTTGTGCACAAATTTGTTAACATCCCTGTTAGTGAGCATTTCTCCTTTGCCAAGTTAATCCATCCACCTGACAGGTGTGGCATATCAAGAAGCTGATTAAATAGCATGATCATTACGCAGGTGCACCTTGTGCTGGGGACAATATAAGGCCACTCTAAAATGTGCCATTAAGTCACACAACACAATGCCACAGATGTCTCAAGTTTTGAGGGAGCGTGCAATTGCCATGCTGAGTGCAGGAATGTCCACCAGAGCTGTTGCCAGATAATTAAATGTTAATTTCTTTACCATAAGTTGTTTTAGGGAATTTGGCAGTACGTCCAACCTGCCTCACAACCGCAGACCACGTGTAGCCACGCCAGCCCAGGACCTCCACATCCGGCTTCTTCACCTGCGCAGGGGCAGTCATGTGACAAAAATTCAGACAAAAGAGGGGTTCCCTCAGACGATCCCTGTCACGTTCGTTGAATACAGGATTGGACCAAGGCGCAACGTGGAATGCATACATGTTTATTCACTAAGATAACACACGACAAAACAACAAAAGCAACGTAACGTGACGCTCACAATGGCTACCAACAAGAGTCAAGATCCCCAATCAGAGACAACGATCGACAGCTGCCTCTGATTGAGAACCACACCCGGCCAACATAGAAATACCAAACATAGAATGTCCACATAGAAATACACATACATAGATATTCACACTCTGACCAAACCAACTAGCGAACTCTATGTCAGGGCGTGACAGTACCCCCCCCCCCCCAAAGGTGCGGACTCCGGCCGCAAAACCTAACTTAACAGGGGAGGGTCCGGGTGGGCATCTAGCCTTGGTGGCGGCTCCGGCTCCGGGCATGACATCCTCTCCCTTACTGCCTCCCCGTTGCACCGCTGGTCCGGTCTGGATCTCGGCGCGATGCTTCCCCTCTCAGTCCTCCCACGAAGCACCAAGCCCTGTCTGGGCCCTGGTGTGGGAGACCCCAACCCTGGAGAGGGGCTGACGTCTGGGCCTGGACCGGAAATCCCCCCGCGATGCACCAAGCCCTGTCTGGACCCTGGTGTGGGAGGCCCCGACCCTGGAGAGGGGTTGCTGTCTTGTTCTGGAGTGTAGCCGCTGACCGGAGCTGAACTGGACCCCGGTGGAGCGGACTGCTCTGGCTCTGGACTGGAGCAGCTGACCGGGGCTGGACTAGGCACCGGTAGAGCGGACTGCTCTGGCACTGGAGTGGAGCCACTGACCAGAGCTGGCCTGTGCACCGGTGGAGTGGACTGCTCTGGCACTGGAGTGGAGCAGCTGACCGGAGCTGGACTGGGCACCGGTGGAGCGGACTGCTCTGGCACTGGAGTGGAGCAGCTGACCGGAGCAGGACTGGGCACCGGTGGAGCGGACTGCTCTGGCACTGGAGTGGAGCAGCTGACCGGAGCTGGACTGGACACCGGTGCAGCTCCTCTCTCCGTGCATCCACTAATTCCTTCTCCCTAAGGGCCTCCTGCAGCGCCTCCTTTTGAAGGGAGCTCTCCTGCTCTATCCTCGCTATCAGCCCCCGTAATGTGGTGGCCTCCTCTCTCAAACTACTGATCCGCAGGTCTTGGAGGACCTCTAAAATAGCGGCCTCCTCTACAGTCAGCCCTTTCATGGCCTCCTGCTGCTTCGTCGACCACCCCGTGTGCCCCCAATTTTTTTTTCTTGGGGTTGCCTCTCGGGTCTCCTTCGTCGTTTCGCATTTTGGAGTCGCCGTCTTTTCTCCCTCGCTGCCTTGTTTGCTCCCAAGGAAGGCGATCCATACCATCCTGGATCTCCTCCCATGTCCAGGTTTCCTCCTTTTCCTGGCCACGCTGCTTGGTCCGTTGGTGGTGGGATCTTCTGTCACGTTCGTTGAATACAGGATTGGACCAAGGCGCAGCGTGGAATTCATACATGTTTATTCACTAATATAACACACGACAAAACAACAAAAGCAACGTAACGTGAAGCTCACAATGGCTACACACAAACAAGAGTCAAGATCCCACAACATAGGTAGGCAAAATGGCTACCTAAGTATGATCCCCAATCAGAGACAACGATCGACAGCTGCCTCTGATTGGGAACCACACCCTGCCAACATAGAAATACCAAACATAGAATGTCCACATAGAAATACACATACATAGATATTCACACCCTGACCAAACCAACTAGCGAACTCTATGTCAGGGCGTGACAATCCCGCAGGTGAAGAAGCCGGATGTGGAGGTCCTGGGCTGGCGTGACTACACGTGGTCTGCGGTTGTGATTAGGGTCTAATTTATTTATTTCAATTAACTGATTTCCTTATATGAACTGTAACTCAGTAACATTTTAATTTAAATTTTAGTCATTTAGCAGAAGCTCTTATCCAGAGCGACTTACAGTTAATGAGTGCGTACATTTTATTTATTTTTTCATATTGGTCCCCCGTGGGAAAAGAACCGACAACCCTGGCATTGCAAACGCCATGCTCTACCAACTGAGCTACACTTAGAAATTGTTGCATGTTGCATTTATATTTTTGTTGAGTGTAAAAAGGCTCTAAATACTTTTTTGTTTGTGATTTCAAAATTCAGACAAATGTGCAGTGTAAAATACAAACATTTAGGAAAATTCAGGTAAGGAGCAGGACATGGGATTTTTTGGGGGCGTTTTTATTTTATTTACAAAATCAAATGTCAGTGGCCGTTGGCCTAGGGTGGTTCTAATGTTAATGGCGAGAACCAAATTACTGGGATTTCCTAACCCAAACGCACTCCCTTTTCCCAGGATAAATAATTGTGAGAAACCGGTAAATTATAATAAGTAATTTCTATGAGCAGCATGACGTGAAATGGAACTGTTAAATTATATGCAATGTCTAAATCTGTCTTCATACAGCCTTCTCTGCTCTTCTATCTGCATGATTAATAATCAATGCTCAGGGTGTGTGTGTGTTGTTGTAGACTACCGTATTTACTTACACAAAGTCACCATAAATTCAAAGCTCACGCATTGTTTATGCTGAAACTGTTCACCCGACCTTGAAATGCAGTTAGTACGGTAACAAAATTGGCTCCAACTTTTGAGCTACCGGTAAGCCTCAATAGTGTGTGATTGTAGCCCGAGCATCCCATTGGTTCCTGCATGAACGACCCCCCCCTCAAGCATCCCATTGGTTCCTGCATGAACGCCCCCCCTCGAGCACGCCATCTTCATGCTTGTGTGACACTTTTGATATTTTGGATTTCCCCTGATTGTCTATACAATTAAAATGTGGGTCCAAAGGGAATAAAATTATTATCTGAGTTTTCTGGGGGGCGAAGGACACTGTCTACCGGTGTCACTCCCGACTCATCTTCTGTGGGGTTTATTGACGGTTGGCATCCAACGTTACGGTGCATTACCGCCACCTACTGTACAGGAGCGCACCCGCCTCCCTCTGCCTACCGGAGGCCTAGCTTAAAAATGGACCAATAGAAGTATAAAGAGGGGTTCCTGCAGATGCAGGAATGCCCACAAGCAGGAACGCCACAATTACAGCCTTCTCATAGGCCTACCTGCTTTTATTAATTCAATTTGTTTTGTCTGTGTGGCAAAGCTTTACAAAAATGAATGCCAACAAGGCCGAATGCAAAAGCCGCTGAAAATCCTGTAAAGGAATTCAGCCTGTTTGAAGCAACAAACAACCGGTCACCGATAGCCACGATCTAGGCCACCTCCGTGGCGGCCAAGAGTGCTTTCTCAGTCTGTGGCCAATTTGTGACGAAGATCAGATACCGCCTGAGTCTGGGAAGTATTGATGCACTGTGCTTTTTGAGAGCCCACTTCAGCAGAATTTTTTAAAGTTAAACAGGTACGGCCTATAGCCTATGCAAATTATTTTTTTGTTTGCTACAGGGTAGGGTTACCAGGTTATTTTACATAGCCTATAGCCTAAGTTTGTGTGTAGAATGTTATTCTACATTTGTTTGGCTGGGTCTTGAGAATCAGTCCGCTACAATTACAGTTAGGCCTACTTACAATTATAGTTAGGCCTACTCTGTTTCTGACCAAGTCTGTTTTCCATGTTGAAAAATAATGCGAAAACCGGGGGTCTTTTAATGAACTCAAATTGAAGAAGCAAGTTTTATGAAAATGTTTGTTTTTCTGTCCTGAATAAAAGTAATAATGTAAAAGAATAATGGCTGGGTCTTCACTTGTTTATTGAATTTTATTATATAGTCTACTTTTGTGTAGCCAAGAGCTCACATTTCATTAATTTTATGCTGTGACTAAATAAACATTTTAAAACCTTCAGAGATGATCATATACTTTATTGCTAGAAATTGGCCTATCGTTGATTTTTAGGCTAACAAATGATAATGAATGCAACAAATAAATGTTAGCTTTTATGTAAAATATAGCATACCTTAGAATGCCACATGATTCGCGGCGGGTTTAGATGTGCGGCCAATTGATCAACCGTAGTGCTATCCATGGTGCTGAATCTCCATTACAGTTTATCTGTTTGATTAGCGGAAAATCAGATATGTTCTCTCTAACAAAATGACCACAATAAGCAAAGTAAAAACAGCCACAACCTTCCCAAATTCTCCCGATAGCCATTAACAAGGGGAGAGAAAAAGACCAAGCTGCATCGTTCAGTCAAAGCTAGGCTACAACGAATGTAATTTTCACTAGACTGTATTAACCCAATAATATTTTTATTATTTTTTTCACAGTGGTATAATCATTTTTTCCCCCACTGGTATTATATGCTTTTAAATAGCACTTCCGGTTTGAACGGGAATAGCGGGAAACTAATTTAACTAACACTCGCGTCAGTGATGTATTTTATGATGACATTTCTTTTATCACCCATTTTGTTTGGCAGGTCACAAGGAAGTAATGTTCATCCATACGTACTACAGCCATCTCATGGAGATCCAGTCTAGGATGGAGCTGAACACTTCTCCAGAAGACCAGAATGAAAACACAAGGTCTGGTTTCCTTACACCTCCAATTTGACATATTAGTAGAGAATGTCATCCAATACAATGAAGGACAATGCTTTGACATAATTATAGTCAACTCTTCAGAACCTCCAGATCTTTTGGGGAATTAAAATGCTACTCCTACATGTGGAGAATACATAGGGAATACATTATTGGATTATATCTGAAAACAATCTTTATCTACAAGAAAAATGACCAATGTTTTCTACACTTTACACTTCAAGTAGTCTGATCTTAATCGGATAAGATCTGATTTTGGTTGCTAACTAGCTCACATGAACAGAAAGGCCTAAAGGTTACATCTACTGGATGATTGCTCCCCGCAGTATCCTCCCTGGTTGCCTGGCCACTGCAGTCATCTCAGCCACCGTTCGAGACCCCTCCAAGGCCCAGAACATCCCAGTGGCCATCCACTATACTTTGTCCTCCTCACACATGGTAAGATCAATGTGTGCATCCCAAATGGCACCCTATTCCTTTTATAGTGCACCCTATTCCCTTTATAGTCCTATGGGCCCTGGTCAAAATTACTGCACTATATGGAATAGGGTGCCATTTCGGACATACCCATTACTGTATATGAAGGGGATAAACCCCACTGCTACACACTATGCTACTGCCTGCATGCTGATTCACACTATAGGGCCAACCTGAACCATAGAGTACTGGCTTGGATATTTTCATTTCACATTGTCCTTTCCAGCTCTGCTCCAGCAACTATGGTGATGAGTATCCAGGCCAGCCAGTGCAGCTTGGTTTGGCTTGGCTTGGCTCGGCTCTGCTCAGTAGTGTGAAAAGTGTATACATGTATGGGTGTGTGGTGTAACGTTGATGTGTATGTATTGTGTCTAGTGTGTGATATATGAGTTGGTGGCTCTCCTCCCAGACTTTTTCTTAGGCGGGGTTGCCAGATTCTCAAGAGCCTCAGAATCTTTGGGTTTCACTAACAAATGGTGCAATTCAAACCAATCATGGTCATTTTTACAGTGGTTGGATGTGGTTGGGAATAGGGTGAAGTAATGATTGAGGGAAACATAACGTTGTTATAGAAACTCTACAATACAGTACGTGTCATTGATTTTACATCTATTCACAAAGTCAAGAGTTGGCCCAGGTCTTTCTAGTAAGTTCCCTGGCCCGATCCCGTGTTGCTTTTGGCGCGTCCTGTCAAAGGGTGCGAGGAGAGAGAATGAGAGAGAAAGAGGGTGAGAAACATCTGTTTTTTGTTCTAGGTGGAGTATTCGCAGCGAGTCACGCCTGTTTGCGTGTTTTGGAATTTCACCCTAATGTAAGTATGACCACACAGTGCAGCTAAGTCAGACATCCCTAGAGTACATGTCAGTAGCGATAAGTCATAACATAACGTTGCATAGGGTTTGTATGTACAGTGGGGAGAACAAATATTTGATAAACTGCCGATTTTGCAGGTTTTCCTACTTACAAAGCATGTAGAGGTCTGTAATTTTTATCATAGGTACACTTCAACTGTGAGAGACGGAATCTAAAACAAAAATCCAGAAAATCACATTGTATGATTTTTAAGTAATTAATTTGCATTTTATTGCATGACATAAGTATTTGATACATCAGAAAAGCAGAACTTAATATTTGGTACAGAAACCTTTCTTTGCAATTACAGAGATCATATGTTTCCTGTAGGTCTTGACCAGGTTTGGCCACACTGCATACAGACCTTCTCCAGATCTTTCAGGTTTCGGGGCTGTCGCTGGGCAATACGGACTTTCAGCTCCCTCCAAAGATTTTCTATTGGGTTCAGGTCTGGAGACTGGCTAGGCCACTCCAGGACCTTGAGATGCTTCTTACGGAGCCACTCCTTAGTTGCCCTGGCTGTGTGTTTCGGGTTGTTGTCATGCTGGAAGACCCAGCCACGACCCATCTTCAATGCTCTTACTGAGGGAAGGAGGTTGTTGGCCAAGATCTCGCGATACATGGCCCCATCCATCCTCCCCTCAATACGGTGCAGTCGTCCTGTCCCCTTTGCAGAAAAGCATCCCCAAAGAATGATGTTTCCACCTCCATGCTTCACGGTTGGGATGGTGTTCTTGGGGTTGTACTCATCCTTCTTCTTCCTCCAAACACGGCGAGTGGAGTTTAGACCAAAAAGCTCTATTTTTGTCTCATCAGACCACATGACCTTCTCCCATTCCTCCTCTGGATCATCCAGATGGTCATTGGCAAACTTCAGACGGGCCTGGACATGCGCTGGCTTGAGCAGGGGGACCTTGCGTGTGCTGCAGGATTTTAATCCATGACGGCGTAGTGTGTTACTAATGGTTTTCTTTGAGACTGTGGTCCCAGCTCTCTTCAGGTCATTGACCAGGTCCTGCCGTGTAGTTCTGGGCTGATCCCTCACCTTCCTCATGATCATTGATGCCCCACGAGGTGAGATCTTGCATGGAACGCCAGACCGAGGGTGATTGACCGTCATCTTGAACTTCTTCCATTTTCTAATAATTGCGCCAACAGTTGTTGCCTTCTCACCAAGCTGCTTGCCTATTGTCCTGTAGCCCATCCCAGCCTTGTGCAGGTCTACAATTTTATCCCTGATGTCCTTACACAGCTCTCTGGTCTTGGCCATTGTGGAGAGGTTGGAGTCTGTTTGATTGAGTGTGTGGACAGGTGTCTTTTATACAGGTAACGATTTCAAACAGGTGCAGTTAATACAGGTAATGAGTGGAGAACAGGAGGGCTTCTTAAAGAAAAACTAACAGGTCTGTGAGAGCCGGAATTCTTACTGGTTGGTAGGTGATCAAATACTTATGTCATGCAATAAAACGCAAATTAATTACTTAAAAATCATACAATGTGATTTTCTGGATTTTTGTTTTACATTCTGTCTCTCACAGTTGAAGTGTACCTATGATAAAAATTACAGACCTCTACATGCTTTGTAAGTAGGAAAACCTGCAAAATCGTCAGTGTATCAAATACTTGTTCTCCCCACTGTAGCTATTCACCCCCCCAAAGTCAATACTTTGTAGAGCCACCTTTTGCAGCAATTACAGCTGCAAGTCTCTTGGGGTATGTCTCTATAAGCTTGGCACATCTAGCCAAGCTTATTGTTCTCCCCACTGTATGTATGTACAGTTGAAGTCGGAAGTTTACATACACTTAGGTTGGAGTCATTAAAACTTGTTTTTCAACTACTCCACAAATGTATTGTTAACAAACTATAGTTTTGGCAAGTCGGTTAGGACATCTACTTTGTGCATAACACAAGTAAGTTTTCCAACAATTGTTTACAGACAGATTATTTCACTAATAATTCACTGTATCACAATTCCAGTGGGTCAGACGTTTACATACACTAAGTTGACTGTGCCTTTAAACAGCTTGGAAAATTCCAGAAAATGACGTCATGGCTTTAGAAGCTTCTGATAGGCTAATTGACATAATTTGAGTCAATTGGAGGTGTACCTGTGGATGTATTTCAAGGCCTACCTTCAAACTCAGTGCCTCTTTGCTTGACATCATGGGAAAATCAAAATAAATCAGCCAAGACCTCAGAAAAAATATTGTAGACCTCCACAAGTCTGGTTCATCCTTGGGAGCAATTTCCAAACGCCTGAAGGTACCACGTTCATCTGTACAAACAATAGTACGCAAGTATAGCCAGACTACGGTTTGCAACTGCACATGGGGACAAAGATCGTACTTTTTGAGAAATATCTTCTGGGCTGATGAACAAAAATAGAACCGTTTGGCCATATGACCATTGTTATGTTTGAAGGAAAAAGGGGAAGGCTTGCAAGCCAAATAACACCATCCCAACCGTGAAGCACGGGGGTGGCAGCATCATGCTGTGGGTGTGCTTTGCTGGTGCACTTCACAAAATAGATGGCATCATGAGGAAGGAAAATTATGTGGATATATTGAAGCAACATCTCAAGACATCAGTCAGGAAGTTAAAGCTTGGTCGCAAATGGGTCTTCCAAATGGACAATGACCCCAAGCATACTTCCAAAGTTGTGGCAAAATGGCTTAAGGACAACAGAGTCAAGGTATTGGAGTGGCCATCACAAAGCCCTGACCTCAATCCTATAGAAAATGTGTGGGCAGAACTGAAAAAGCGTGTGCGAGCAAGGAGGCCTACAAACCTGACTTAGTTACACCAGCTCTGTCAGGAGGAATGGGCCAAAATTCACCCAACTTATTGTGGGAAGCTTATGGAAGGCTACCCGAAACGTTTGACCCAAGTTAAACAATTTAAAGGCAATTGATACCAAATACTAATTGAGTTTATGTAAACTTCTGACCCACTGGGAATGTGATAAACTAAATAAAAGCTGAAATAAATCATTCTCTCTACTATTATTCTGACATTTCACATTCTTAAAATAAAGTGGTGATCCTAACTGACCTAAAACAGGGAATATTTACTAGTATTAAATGTCAGGAATTGTGAAAATCCGAGTTTAAATGTATTTGGCTAAGGTGTATGTAAACTTCCGACATCAACTGTATGTGTGTGTGTGTGCGTGCGTGTTTGATTTCTGGGTGTTTGTGCCACAGGACTGGGCATTTCAACGGCTGGTCCAGCGAAGGTTGCAGGGTGACTCACACAGGCTCTGATGTCACTTCCTGCTTTTGTAACCACACCACCAACTTCGCCGTCCTGATGAATTACATGGAGTCCAAGGTAATGAATAGCATGGTCATCCCAGAGTCTGCAACACCACTAAGCAAGGGGCACCACCAAGGAAGACCAAGAAGACCAAGGAGCTCTCCAAACAGGTCAGGGACAAAGTTGTGGAGAAGTACAGATCAGGGTTGGGTTATAAAAAAATATCAGAAACTTTGAACATCCCATGGAGCACCATTAAATCCATTATTAGGATTATGGAAAGAATATGGCATCACAACAAACCTGCCAAGAGAGGGACACCTTTTGCAGCAATTACAGCTGCAAGTGTCTTGGGGTATGTATATATAAGCTTGGCACATCTAGCCACTGGGACTTTTGCCCATTCTTCAAGGCAAAATTGCTCCATCTCCTTCAAGTTGGATGGGTTCCGCTGGTGTACAGCAATCTTTAAGTCATACCACAGATTCTCAACTGGATTGAGGTCTGGGCTTTGACTAGGCCATTCCAAGACATTTAAATGTTTTCCCTTAAACCACTCAAGTGTTGCTTTAGCAGTATGCTTAGGGTCATTGTCCTGCTGAAAGGTGAACCTCCGTCCCAGTCTCAAATCTCTGGAAGACTGAAACAGGGTTTCCTCAAGAATTACCTGTATTTTGCGCCATCCATCATTCCTTCAATTCTGACAAGTTTCCCAGTCCCTGCCGATGAAAAACATCCCCACAGCATGATGCTGCCACCACCATGCTTCACTGTGGGGATGGTGTTCTCGGGGTGATGAGAGGTGTTGGGTTTGCGCCAGACATAGCGTTTTCCTTGATGGCCAAAAAGCTCTATTTTAGTCTCATCTGACCAGAGTACCTTCTTCCATATCTTTGTGGAGTCTCCCACATGCCTTTTGGCGAACACCAAACATGTTTGCTTATTTTTTTCTTTAAGCAATGGCTTTTTTCTTGCCACTCTTCCGTAAAGCCCAGCTCTGTGGAGTGTACGGCTTAAAGTGGTCCTGTGGACAGATACTCCAATCTCTGCTGTGGAGCTTTGCAGCTCATTCAGGGTTATCTTTGGTCTCTTTGCTGCCTCTCTGATTAATGCCCTCCTTGCCTGGTCCGTGAGTTTTGGTGGGCGGCCCTCTCTTGGCAGGTTTGTTGTGGTGCCATATTCTTTCCATTTTGTAATAATGGATTTAATGGTGCTCTGTGGGATGTTCAAAGTTTCTGATATTTTTTTATAACCCAACCCTGATCTGTACTTCTCCACAACTTTGTCACTGACCTGTTTGGAGAGCTCCTTCGTCTTCATAGTTCCGCTTGGTTGGTGGTGCCCCTTGCTTAGTGGTGTTGCAGACTCTGGGGCCTTTCAGAACAGGTATATATATATACTGAGATCATGTGACAGATCATGTGACACTTAGATTGCACACAGGTGGACTTTATTTAACTAATTATGTGACTTCTGAAGGTAATTGGTTGCACCAGATCTTATTTAGAGGCTTCATAGCAAGGGGGGTGAATAAATATGCACGCACCACTTTTCCGTTATTTATTTTTAGAATTTTTTCAAACAAGTTATTTTTTTTATTTCACTTCACCAATTTGGACTATTTTGTGTATGTCCATTACATGAAATCCAAATAAATATCAATTTAAATTACAGGTTGTAATGCAACAAAATAGGAAAAACGGCAAGGGGGATGAATACTTTTGCAAGGCACTGTAGTGTAACTAGGGCTTTGCAATGATGGTGAAAACTTCGAAATGTTGGGGTTAAGTAGGTTAAAATATTCCTAGAGGTCACAGAGGATCCACAGAGGGACATGTCAAAATGCAGAATTTCTTCACTTTAGCAAGTCTTCATTCATATAAAAATATATATGTTAATTGAATTTTCCATATGGTCTATATTAAAGGGCACTTCATTTAATATAACAGGCTTTTAAAATTTAAATTTTTCCACAACTTCTACTTAAAATATCAAAGGGACGCAAAAGGCACTCATTTCGTGGAATGACCCAGAATGATGAAGGATTTATGTTTGATAAGAGAAGAGATAAATCGAAAGTATAGAGGGTGTGAATTCTCAGTCAAAACCATTTAACATTGGAATTAGTTATCAACTGATTTGAGATGTAATTAATATTTGAATGGAAGTGGTATGTTTCAGTTCTGATATCTCACCAAATAATTTTGTACACATGCACACACACATGTTCATGCATGCATCCACGCACAACTCCAGCAACTGGTGGATTTCGTAGCCAGGCCAGCGTAGTACAGCTCGGCACTGCTCTGGCTAGTAGGGTATTAATGTTGTGTCAAGTATTCCTCAAGTCAAGCTTGTCTAACATCAGTCACTTGCTCTTATTGCCATCAGATGTTGCAAATTCGCATTGTGCCACATTGCCCAGTAGATGTCACTGTTAGTATGGAGAACCATAGGCCTCAGGCCATGTAAGAGTTAATCAGCTATAATATAGACTCTTTGCTAGTGATCAGTACTCAGTGGATGATAACAATACTTTTGTGTTGACTGTGTTTTGACTGGCCTGTCCTACTCTGTATATGCGTGTGTGTGCTTCTCTCCCTCTCTCTCCCCAGTGGACTCAGGAGGAGGAGGATATTTTGACGAAGCTGACGTTTATCGGCTCTGGGGCCTCTCTGTGCGCACTGGTGGTGACCTTGATGCTGTTCACCGTGCTGGAGTGAGTGTTTTATTAGCCAGTCACCTAGCTGCTACTTTAGAATAAACACCACCGCTGTGAAACTGGGGAGAATTTGAGCCAACATAGCCTCATTGGAGACATTTGTTCTCTCTAACTTAGCTTCGCCCTCCAAAGCGAGCATGGCCCATTTCTTAGTCAGCACTCACTGGAATATTATATCTTAGCCATGCAAAAGCAAACAACAACATTTAATTAAAGACAGTAAGAGAAAACAAACATCGTAGGCAAGCTCCTTTAAAAGCAATCCAAGCAGTAGCTACATTCACAATGAAACCTTATTTAACAGCAGAACTTCTCAACAGTAAGTTGCCACATCCAGAGTTTGGGGGTTAGCTCCATTTTAATTTATTCAATTCAGGAGATTCATTGAACACGTTTCTCATTATTTCCAATGAGGAGTTGTCTGAATTGAAATGGAATCAACCCCAACCCTGGTCACACCAGCCAGCAACATACCATTGGAATCGTAGAGATACAGTTACTAGAATGGACATTCCCATTCAAGTCAATGTCCTGTGTTCCAGTAAAATTCCCATGAGCTCAAGGACTTTGCCCCTTCTAGTAATTATATCTCTATGGTCGGAATCCTCCCTAGTCATCATTTATGCTCTGTTTTAAGAGGGATCAGTATTTAACAGTGCTAATCTAGTTATTAGTAGTGTCTGTGTGTGAGTACACACTGAAGGTTTATGGTGGCATTACAGGGCAGCTAATTAACTCACCAAGGGAGATCCAAATCAGGGATTGGAATAGCCGATTGGTCAATCGACTGGGGATGGGAATAGCGGGAATAGGCGATTTGACAAGGAGATTTATGAGCCGGTCACACCTAAATCATCCCAGACACACCCAATGGCACACAGATGAAAACAAGTCCGAATTTAATAGAAAAGCGTCAGAAAACAAGAGATGGCTGGTTATTCGTTACTACTTCATTTGAATAACAACAAAACAATAGACCCACACTTGGTTTGCTATAAAGCTGAGGATGGGGTTGGAGAAATCACAGAGTGGGCCTTTAAACCTATTCTATTGCTGCTATTACTTTCTTTCTCATAGACATTTTGAAAGTATACTTGTGAAATGTGTAATTATTGCAAAGACACTTGATTGGGGTTTTATTGTTATGTCGTCGTGTTAGAATATTCATTTTGTTTCTCCAAAGAAATGTTTTTAACACTACATCTTTTGATTCTTTCCAGCATTCCCAAATCGGAGAGGACGTCTATCCACAGGAACCTGTTCATTGCGCTGACCTGTGCCCAGATAGTCCTTCTCTGCAGTGGCTCAGCTGTCAACAATAAAGTAGGCTAACCATCTTGGCTAACTGTGGGGCAAAATAATTAACTTTACAGTTAGTTAGCTACGGCACCTCTCTTTGCTAGGAAACCGCTACCTCTGAAATGGATAGGGTGGCTCCACTAATGTTGACATTTGGACAGTTGTGACATATCCTCTTACAAAGCGTATTGGTCTGTTGTTTATCTGACCCTTGACCCTGTCAGGTGGCCTGCACCCTGGTGGCGGCCCTGCTGCACCTCTTCTTCATGGCTGCCTTCAGCTGGATGCTGGTGGAGGGACTGCTTCTCTGGAGCAAAGTGGTGGCGGTCAACCTGAGCGAGGACCGACACATGAAGTACTACTATCTCATTGGCTGGGGTATGACACAGAAGAACAAGATAGAAGAAGATTACCTTAGTTCATTTACTACATGAGCAATGGAGATTTGTATTTTCCATATCCCATTCTCCCCAGTAGACTTACTGTACACGTACACATACACATATACTGTACATATACTGTACAGTCAGGTCCATAATTATTGGCACCCTTGATAAAGATGAGCAAAAAATACTTTATACAATAAATAATACAAATACTGAGCTATATTGTATGCACAAATAAATGGGAAAGTATATTATTTTATACTAATACAATTGCTCAGAGAAAGATATATTTTTACAAATAATAAAATACATTTTTAAAAGATAGGCCTCAAAATTATTGGCACCCCTGTTTTCAATACTCTAGCACCCTCCCCTTGCGAGCGTAATGACACTGAGCCTTTTTCTAAAATGTTTTATGAGATTGGAGAACACATTGGGAAGGATCTTAGACCATTCCTCCATACAGAAATAATATTTCCAGATCCTTCATATCCTTCATCTGCTGTTATGGACTGCCCTCTTCAGTTCAAACCACAGGTTTTCAATGGGGTTCAAGTCCGGAGATTGTTGATTTTGTGGTCAATTAACAATTTCTTTGTGGATTTTGATTAGTGCTTGGGGGTTATTGTCTCTCTGGAAAATCCACTTGTGGAGGCAACCAGGTGTTTGGCAGAGGCAACCAGGTGTTTGGCTAAAATGTCCTAAAATTGAAGAGGGCAGTCCAAAAGGGCAGACAAAGGATATCAAGGATCTGGAAAGATTCTGTATGGAGAAATGATCCCTCTCAATGTGTTCTCCAATCTCATAAAACATTTTTGAAAAATCTGTGTCGTTATCCTCGCGGGGAGAGTGCTGGAGTATTAAAAACAGGGGTGCCAATAAATGTGATATTACTTGTTAAACAAAATATAATTCCCCTAGCAATTGCATTAGTGTAAAATAATATAATTTTCCTTTACTTTGTTTTAGCATACAATATAGCTCAGTATTTGTATTATTTATTTTATACAGCCAATAATTATGTACCTGATTGTACATACACAAACACACACATACAGTACATATACACACACACTCAGGAAGTACTGATCTCTCTTGCTCTAGCTCTGCTCTTTCTCTGTCTCTCATTCACTCTCTCTCTCTCTCTCTCTCTCTCTCTCTCTCTCTCTCTCTCTCTCTCTCTCTCTCTCTCTCTCTCTCTCTCTCTCTCTCTCTCTCTCTCTCCCTCCCTCCCAGGTCTGCCAGTGCTGATAGTCACCATCACCCTGGCCTCTGCCTCAGGGAAGTACTCTGCTGATGGCCACTGTTGGCTCAGTGTGCAAAACGGGGTCATCTGGGGCTTCGCAGGCCCTGTTATTTTCATCATTATGGTGAGAACACATACACACATGCAAAACATTTTTTTCTTGCAATTAATTGCATTGTCTGAAAGCATTGAAAATACACTGAAAACCTCCCACATACATCATCTATACAGCTGAAATCTACAATGCCATGTAAAAACAAGTTGACATTGAGGTTAAATAAAGTGTGCTTTCTCAAACCGTTACTTTAGACAAAATCAAGACATCAATATTATTGTAATGTTTTTTGTATGAAGAATCTTGAATTACAGCTCACTTTGAGCAAATCCTGCGAGTTAACGTGATTAAATGTTTTTGTTTGCCAGCCCTAATTATTACCTCCAAAAAATTATACTAATTTAACTCTAACAGATGACAATACAATGTTTTAGATACAGTAGGCTTACTGAATGCAAACAATACCTCTCACATGACTTGCATGTTCTAACCAATTATTTACTGTATTTACACTGTTGAAATGTATGTGAATATATTGTATGTCTCTGTCTAACCGACAGTGTATGTGTGTCCTCTCATCAGGTGAACATCATGGTTCTGACGCGGGTAGTGGTCATCACCATCTCCACAGCCAAGAGGAGGTCCATCATGCTGGCAATGGATAACAGTCCTGTGGAGCAGGCCTACGAGCAGATCAGGTAGACACCACACGGGGGCGCCATTTCATTACAGTTACTGCCACAGACTATTACTAGACAATACTAATGTAGTTGTTCTATGCCTTTGCAGAAGTTCCATGGTTTGAGGTTGGTTTTGTAAAAAGCCAGCAGCTATAATACTTTATTACTTGTTATAAGCATGTATGAGGCTTTATAATCACTTATAAAAATGACTCTATGTATATAATAACTCTATGCATTTTTTGTCTTACAAAACATTATGGACATCTGTTCTTTCCATGACATGGACTGACCAGGTGAAAGCTATAATCCCTTATTGATGTCACTTGTTAAATCCACTTCAATCAGTGTAGATGAAGGGGAGGAGATAGGTTAAATAATGATTTTTAAGCCTTGAGACAATTGAGACATGGATTGCGTATGTGTGCCATTCAGAAGGTGAGTGGGCAAGACAAAAGATTTAAGTGCCTTTGAATGGGGTATGGTAATAGGTGCCAGGCGCACCGGTTTGTGTCAAGAACTGCAACGCAGCTGGGTTTTTCACGCTCAACAGTTTCCCGTATGTATCAAGAATAAGGACATCCAGCCAACTTGACACAACTGTGGGAAGCATTGGATTCAAAATGGGCCAGCATCCCTGTGGAATGCTTTCGACACCTTGTAGAGTCCAATGCCCCGACGAATTGAGGCTGTTCTGGGGGGGGGGAGGGGGGTGCAACTCAATATTAGCAAAGGTGTTCCTAATGTTTGGTATACTCAGTGTACATGTTAACTGCACTGAAAGATATTAACTGCACTGCAAGAGGTGAGGTAGAGTAAAGTGTATGGTGTGTTGGTATTTTTCCCTTTGTTGTTTCCTTTACCCTTTGTATAGGATACAGTGTATGAAATTTGAGTGTAATTATTCATTCCCTGAAGTGCTGTTTACAATCTATCAGTGGAAATCATTTCAACGTGTAAATGTTTTTCCTGCGACTCAGCTGCGCTGGTCACAATAACAACTCTGTGGAGGAGGAATATCAATGTTGGTGTTGAGCGTCAGCCGGCCGGCCCGATGGCAGCCAGAGTGGAAACTTAAACACATTCCTCCGCTGAATAAACTAGAGCCCTCGCCCGCCCCACAGCTGGTGCGGTTTAGCGGTCACCTGAACTGGAAGGTAATTTTATCCTAAACAGAATTAGGGAGCGATTTAGTGTGGAAATTGTCACAATATGAGACTAACCAGCCTCCCCTGTTGTGCTTGGGTCGACCCTCCTGCCAACCTGCCCCATTTGGCCCAACCACGTCCAACCAAGCCCATAGCGTTGCGCACGGATCCGATCCAGAATGGATGGGGAGTTTCAGTGTGAGGTGCCTGGGTTGGGTGGGTAATGGGGAAACTGTCTACTAGCATGGTGCCCAGTCCTTCAATTTGTGTCGATTGGCTTGTGGTTGCTTTCTCTCAGGGCTGCGGTGAAAGCAGTGCTGGTGCTACTGCCAATCCTGGGCCTGACCTGGCTCTGTGGCGTCCTGGTGCCCTTCTCCATAGTCATGGCCTACGTCTTCATCTTTCTCAACTCACTGCAGGTACTGGCCACATACTCTCACTTATCTAAAACACTTCTCTCTCTTTCTGTTGTTCTTATCTTTTCTCCCGTTCTCTCTCTGTGTTCTCTCTATTTCTCTCACTCTTTCATTCATTCTCTGTCTTTCTGTTGTTCTCTTCCTCTCCCTCAATGCCTTTCTCGTTCTCTGCACTCTCCCGTTCTCTCTCTTTCCCTGAGATAACTCCACCTTTTCCAATGTGTTATACAAGTATGACTGTATTCGATGTTCTGCATGTATGACTGTATTCGGATGTGGAGATTATAGGCCTATTTCGATGGAGGCCTACCCAGTAGAGGGACATACTGTGTTGTAGATGTTGATTGGAGAATTAACAAGGATTGAAAGACCACTAACCACCAATAGAGACGGAAGTGGCTCAAGTTTCAGTTGAGACCGTTGTTCTTTGAAAGGCCTCTGGTTTCGCTGTGAGTGAATGGGGTGCTGTATTAGAACCAAGCTCACAGATGAAAAAAGGGACACAATCACATTTTTACCATTATGCATTCTCGTGATTCTCTTATTCTGACTCTGAAAGAGAGCAACAAACTCTCAAGGTTTCAGTTTGTGTTTGTTGGAGACAAGGTTGACTTTGACAGGAAATGAGTAGTGCTCTGCTTGTGTTAAACAGGTGCTTCTGTTTATCAATGAAAGTGCAACGTTACAAAATGGTTTCATGAGCTACTACAGAATTTACAGGCTGGCATTTTGATTGTCAATTGTGTTAATGTTTTTAAAAAATTTTTAAATTAAATGTTCAGCTATAAAAATACATGTTTTTGTTCTTTTATTTATAGTGAACAATTTACAGTATTTCAGTCAAATTTACCACAGCGTATCATGTTTTTGATATTTGATTCAGTAGTCATGTAAATAAAATATTTTTTTTAAACAGTGAAATAAGGTATTTTTCTAATTACATTTCATAAATATGACACATACAACATTCTGAAAACATAAATACGTATTTTCTTATGTTTTATCTCAGCAGTGTTAGCCTACATTTTACTTCCAACCCATAATTAACATCAACTTGAGAAATATTGGTTTTCACATGAAAACATTAATTCCAGTGTAACTTAATTATCTTGCTTGCCTGTGAAAATAGGACAGAGAGAGGGAGAATCATGTAATGCTCTGATTGCGGTCTACCCTGGTGTGCAGTACTCACATCCTGCTTGGCAATTTGTAGTCATCTTTAATCAGTTGTATCTTTATTTGAGCCGTATATTTAACAAGAAATCAATAGACATTTAGCCCGAGTCAGATCATTAAGAAAGCCCTCTCTCTCTCTAACTATAAATAGTTATGTTTCTCCCACATCTAATTACATTTTTTATCACAACAATAATTCATGCAGGCTATCTTATTAGTTGGGGTGGAGTCACATAGCTTCGGTGGACGGCTTCCACTTTAACAGTACAGTAGAAACACAAAAACAACTTCCTCATAGTTTTTCCTCTGAGCCCTGCTATAAGCAATAGAGCAAACTGAATGAAGAAATGTGAGTCCTTCAAGCTTCCGTACCTCACTAACATGCAACATGACTCCTTTAACATCATATTATTCACGTGATCTCATAGCAGACTAATTATAATATTTCTATGTCCATATTTGCATTTCCGAGAGAACACATACAGTTGAATAGCTCAGATACAGGTAACAAACGTTCTGTACAACTTTCTGGTCAGGACAGTGTTTTTAACTGCCTGTGTAATATCAAAATAGGCATGTTTGCAGTTTAGATTCAATGTTAGCGGTCATCGTGCCTTGAGAAAATCATCATACACATAATCACTGTCTGTATTTATCGCACCAAGAATCCCAGCCCCTGTTTATTGTGTCAATCTTAAAATAGCACTAACCTGCACCTTTTTGTAATTCACCAGTCAAGTACAGATTTTTTGATGTGACAGTGTGAGTGAGTACTTCTTGAACAACTTCAATCAATGCTAAATAATGAAATGAAACTAAATGAAATGCCCATACAAAAGGGGGATATATTCATTTTTCAAACGACTGCATATTGTCCAGTCAGGAGAGTGGGGTCAGGCTGGTCAACAACCGTCGCATGAGGAGGAATTAATGAAGTGACGGGGCGCTCCGTGTCAGTCGGCGTGGCGATGGGGGCCCTATAATAGCCAGCTGCTCCTGAATTCCTTAATGGGCCCTGCTTTAAAGGCTTTGACTGTAGAGAATAGGGCCAGACCACCCCTGCTATGCAGAAAACTTGTCCCCCGTCACTAACTGTGACCTGGCATTCAGCGTATTGTCCCTTATTAGATAGACCTTGTTATTCGGTATACAGGCCTAATTACTTATTAGATTATTGCTGTTCAACTAGAGAATCACTCATGTATGGCATAATTCTTGAAGTATATTATTCAGTATTTAGGGACTGTTAAAGCTGAAAATATCACTAGTTACTGAATAGATCGCTAGATACTAGATATTTGCTCCATATGCTTTGAATTCTTAACAAAGAATTACGGCTTCCGAGGGTGGACATCCGGTGAAACAAGAGGAATCATACAAATAAAAAGCATTTTTGAAAATATTAATTGCTTTGTTGGGAATTTGCGTATCCAACTGGAATGCCAGCTATTGATGTAAGCTGTTTGGAATCCGAGGGTAGAGTTGAGTCTTTGATTCGATTGTCGCCACCGCTCTGTTTTTAGTATTTTAGGAAGTATCACATTTGTTTGATGGCGAGGGGACAGAAGTCACCGCAACACAATTTCGGTGAGTCACAGAGACGGTTCTCAGCACTAGGCCCAGCGCAGAGGAAACATCCTGAGTGCTTTCTGTGATCTTCTAATTGTACTGAGAGTCTTTTCGGCCCGGTCTTTTCCACTGGAACATGAAGAAAATAGACGTCCCCTGTGTACAATTTAAAATGGATTCATCTGTTTTCCTGATGATTTCTAGGCCCATGTGGTGCCCCCTTTCCTCTCTTTCTCTCTCTCCCTCTCCCTTGTAATGCAAGCAAGGCTCAGGCTTTGGAGTAAAATCTTGGGGGCCAAAACATTTCTCTTGTTTTTGCAAGTTTCTCAATGTTTCTTCCACGTTTTGTCAGCCACTTTTTGTGATACATTTTAATTTGGTGTCATCATTAGTGACTACTTGATGCATAACATAGGCCTATACTGCTCTCCAGTTCTGGAGATGTATCTAACTACAGTATATCCTCGTTCAAATGACATTGATTTCTTGGCGAGGAAAAACCTACTTGAACATTATGAAATTCTAATGGCCGCCCATAAAGATGATGAAATGCAGGAAATACATAATAATGCACGCAAAACCTCAAGTGATTCCGGCAGGTGATAAAAAGGGACGTTTTAAGGAGTTTTTTTTTATTTGTGGCTATTGTATTTTCAGTGGGGTGGCCAAAGCAACGTAACGCTTAAGCTGCTGGCCTTTACTGTTAAATCAATAAAGCAGATAATGTTGACAAGCCTTTTTCATCGCTCATCGCACACCTCCCCCGTATTGGGCGCTTGAAAAGATTGAGTATTTACAGTGTTGTTCTTTTTTTAAAGTTTTGTTTGCAGACATTAACCGACCATAATAAACAAACGAACGAACACGATCATGCATTTTCTTCCACACCAAATACTTCACTGTATTTCATTAGGGTTAGCTCATAGACCCATTTTTTTTTTAAAGTGCAACATCTGGGAGTGTGTGCGTGCGTGTTTGTGTGCGTGCGCGCATGTGTGTATCTTTGTGTGTGTCTTTGTGTGGTTTTATACCCTAGCATTTCCTGAAATATCAGTTTTGTTGTTGTAGTTGTTGTTTTTGACTCATTTGATGTTTTTCATCAAGCGCAAAATCACATGATTTGTTTGGTAGATTCTCCATTTTCTCCATTTTGTTTAAGTACCCATTGGTTCTGATATTATTTACTAGTCCATGTAATTGGTCCTTGGTATGTATTATAATATACTGAACAAAAACATAAACGCAACATGCAACAATTTCAAAGATTTTACTGAGTTACAGTTCATATAAGGAAATCAGTCAATTGAAATAAGTTAATGAGGCCCTAATCTATGGATTTCACATGACTGCGAATACAGATATGCATCTGTTGGTCACAGATACCTTTAAAAAAGGAAGGGGTGTACATCAGAAAACCAGTCAGTATCTGGTGTAACCACCATTTGTGTCATGCAGCGCAACACATCTCTTTCGCATAGAGTTGATCAGGCTGTTTATTGTGGCCTGTGGAATGTTGTCCCACTCCTCTTCAATGGCTGTGCGAAGTTGCTGGATATTGGCGGGAACTGGAACACGCTGTCGTACACGTCGATCCAGAGCATCCCAAACATGCCCAATGGGTGACATGTCTGGTGAGTATGCAGGCAATGGAAGAACTGGGGCATTTTCAGCTTCCAGGAATTGTGTACAGATCCTTGCGACATGGGGCTGTGCATTATCATGCTGAAACATGAGGTGAATGCGGCGGATGAATGGGCCTCAGGATCTCATCACGGTATCTCTGTGCATTAAAATTGCCATTGATAAAATGCAATTCTGTTCATTGTCCGTAGCTTATGCATGCCCATACCATAACCCCACCGCCACCATGGGGCAATCTATTCACAACGTTGACATCAGCAAACCACTCGCCCACACGACGCCATACATGTGGTCTGCGGTTGTGAGGCCGGTTGGATGTGCTGCCAAATTCTCTAAATCGACATTGGAGGTAGTTTATGGTAGAGAAATGAACATTCAATTTTCTGGCAACAGATCTGGTGGACATTCCTGCAGTCAGTATGCCAATTGCACGCTACCTCAACTTGAGAGATCTGTGGCATTGTGAAGTGTGACAAAACTGCGCATTTTAAAGTGGCCTTTTATTGACCCCCAGCACAAGGTGCACCTGTGTAATGATCATGCAGCTTCTTGATATGCCTCACTTGTCAGGTGGATGGATTATCTTGGCAAAGGAGAAATGCTCACTAACAGGATGTAAACACATTTGTGTACAACATTTTAGAGAAATAAGCTTTTTGTGCGTATGGAACATTTCTGGGATCTTTTATTTCAGCTCATGAAACATGGGACCAAATCAAATTTTGTGTTTTTGTTCAATGTTCCTTTTTTTTTTTTTTTTTTTTTTTTTTTTTTACAGTATATTGAGTATATCTGAATTAAGCCAGTGGGGAGTCGTACAATAATCAAATGACACACAAAGACAAAAAAGTATCTCCTTCAAATTTCAATTGGCCACCAAACTCCTTCATACACTATATATACAAAAGTATGTGGACACCCCTTCAAATTAGTGGATTCGGCTATTTCAGCCACACCCGTTGCTGACAGGTGTATACAATCGAGCACACAGCCATGCAATCTCCATAGACAAACAGGCAGTAGAATGGCCTTACTGAAGAGCTCAGTGACTTTAAACGTGGCACAGTCATAGGATGACACCTTTCCAACAAGTCAGGCGGTATGCAAATTGTTGATCCAGGGTGTCTGGGATGATGGTGTTAACGTGAGCCATGACCAGCCTTTCAAAGCTTTTCATGGATACTGATGTGAGTGCTACGGGGTGATTACCTTGGCATTCTTGGGCACAGTTTTCCCTG